AACACAGCAGGTTTCACGGGCAGTTATTTTTTTGCTAGTTCTCTGGAATGCAAAAAATGATAAAAAAGAAAAAGGAAAAAGTGAGGAAAATGTGCCTTGTTTGCGATCGATCAACGAAGACGTTAACAGATGTATGAGGCCGGGCCACAGAGTTATTCGAATCCCTCCCACATGATGGGTGGTGCGGAGCATGACGGCGGTGGAGGAGGCAGCGAAGCAGACAAGCGCACATTGTGGGTGGGCGATATCGACCGATGGATGGATGAAAACTACATAGTAGCACTGTTCGGATCAGCTGCCGAGGTGGCCAACGTCAAAATCATTCGGGACAAAATGACGGGGCTGCCGGCTGGCTACGGTTTCGTAGAATTCAAGTCTCACGAGGGTGCTGCGCGGGTCCTCAACGATTTCAACAACGTGCCCATCCCCGGTGTCGGGCGTTCCTTTCGCCTGAACTGGGCCACCTTTGGCATCGCAGCCAGGTGCGTGATCCTCCACAATCGTAGATAGATTTATCTGATTTTTTTACCGTTATTTATTTATTTATTCTTTTTTAATTACTTGTCTTTACCCGCGATTGCAGGCGACCAGAGACCGGGCCTGAGTTCTCACTGTTCGTGGGCGACCTGGCACCCGAAATCTCTGATGATCAGCTTCAGGTACAGCTCTCGCCCTATCGACGAGTAACCGCACATGCACTGCCGTGGCTTACTGCGTGCGTGGCTCTGCCCAGGCTTTCTTTGGCGCGCGCTACAGGTCCGTCAGGTCGGCCAAAGTCGTGACCGACGCTGCCACAGCAGCCTCCAGAGGCACGTGCAGCTCGGCCATTAACAAACATTTGTTTTCGCACTTCGCTCTTTTGTGTAGCGCTGACGGTGCGTCGTCTGCGTAGGTTACGGGTTTGTGCGGTTCGGCGATGAGACGGAGTGCTACTCTGCGATGACCGAGATGCAGGGCATGATGCTGGGCAGTCGCGCGCTTCGTCTCAGCCAGGCCACGCCGAAGAAGAGCTCTTCTATGGGCGGGGGAATGGGCATGCCCATGGGAATGCCGATGGGCGGCGGCGGTGGCGGCGGCGGGGTACCGACTGCACACCAGAGTTGCCGTTCTTTGCATGCGTGCATGTATCGTGTGCCATGCGCTGACTTTCGTGTCATTTGTATGGCCAGCATTCCGCACCCATGCCAGAACAGGCCGACCCCTCGAACACTACGATCTTTGTCGGCAACCTCGACTCGACAGTTGGCGAAGATGAGCTCAGAGGGTACGCCCACTACAAGAAGTCATTTTAGGTGGCCTGATGCCGCCTGCATTGCTTGCTGCGTACTGACGGATACGTTTTGTCTTCTTTGATGGTCACGCCAGTCACTTCATGCCGTTCGGCGAGCTGGTCTACGTGCGAGTGCCTCCGGGCAAGAATTGTGGATTCGTTCAGTTTGGTATGCTCCATCCATCGCTCTCGTTTACACGGCATGTTGCCGTGGCTGTGCTCGTGCGGCGCACTCATCACCCCGACCTCTCCTCTCTATCTCGATTTTTCTCTTTTTTTTCGCCATCACAGTGCATCGCTCCTGCGCCGAGAACGCCATGCTCAGAGTGCACGGCAAGACAATCGGTAGGGTTCCTCTCTTTGGTTTCGGCGTCTTTGTTTGCTTTCAAGACTCAACAAGTGTTTTCTTCTTCCGCTCATTCAGGCTCGCAACCGTGTCGCTTGTCCTGGGGCAGGACTGGTGGACGCCCCGGCTCCTCGAGAGCCGGACCGCCCCAGGGCGCACCATTTGGTGGTGGCGCTGGGTACGCCAGGCCCACCTCCAATCGCTCAACAGCACCTGCGCCCGTGTGCTAATCTTATGTGCAACCAACGCCTGTGCACAGTTATGGAGGCTACGGTGGGTACATGCCCCCAGCATATCCCGATTACTATGGCGCTGGCGCGGGTATGGGCATGATGCCGCCTGCTGTCGCTGCCCCCTACGCACCCGTGATGCCCGTGGCGGCTCCCACACCGCCGGTCGAGACCAGCTCGACCGAAGATATTTACTTCACGCAGAGCATGGACCAAGTGGTGAAGCGGGTACCATCTTCTTCTTCTTTTTCATCTTCATCTTCTTCATCGTCAGTGCACCTGCCACGTTCGTACTTGGCGTGACGAGAGGCCGTTAGCTCATCAGCAGCATCGGTCTTCTCTCATCAACAGCAAAACGAAGAGTTTGCGACCGGGCACATAAACAACCTGGTGCCCAACTTCTTCTGGTCGAGAAGCCACAACCTGTCCAGCGTCAGCGAGTTCGAGTGAGAGCCGCCGCCTTTCCTCTTCTACTCTGTCCTCTTCCCCACCTTTCTTCTCCTCATTGGTCTTCTTCTTGACCCGTGTAGATACCACCTCTATTTTATTATTTATTTATTTTAAATGAAAATGAATAAAACAAATAAAATGCAGTGTGCTATTTTCTTGTATTATTTTTCAGCCGAAGCCAAAAGAAGAAGAAGCAGAAGGATGGGCGGGCAGGAGTCGAGGTTGGTGCCGCTCGTCAGCCACCCGGCCATGACCGACGAACAGGTCCTTAGCGCCATCATGGCCCAATCGTGGACCTCCGACGACCTCAATGGCTGTTGGGTCGAAGGGCGGTCCCCCCTCCACGCTGCAGTCGAGGTACAACCCCCCACCACCGCCACCCACCGTGCAACTAAAAAGCTGACGTGGCACCGTACGTACCAGGCACGACGAGGAGGTGCGGTGGTGGCTGCGTTGGTGGACAAGGGAGCCGACGTGAACCGCACGTACTCGCGGCACTTGTTCGTCACCTCCATCGTACGCACACGTTCTTTCCGCTACAAATGATCTATAGTATGGCCACACTCACGAGCGTGTGCGGTGGTGGTGGTGTGGGCAATCAGGCGTCTACTTTGTTGACAGCGGGAGCGATCGTCTATCTGACGACGTTGATCTACGTGCTGGGCACGTTGACGACGGCCCTGCTCATCTCCCACTCTGAGTGCCACTCGCTGTGGTGGCTCGCCTGGTTCGGCGTGTGGCTCGTCGCCCCGCTGAGCCGGCTAGGGCGGGACGGCGCCAACGGCGGCGCGCTGCTGCTCTACTGGGACCTGGCCATCTTCGTGTCCTACTGGCTGCTCTACGCGCCCCTGTGGACCACGCTGGTTTGCGTGGTGATCGCGGGCCTCAGCTCGTTCTACCTGCTGCTCTCCCTCACCGAGGCCGCCAGCGCTGGCGAGCTCTACTTCCGAAGTGAAGCTCAGGGTGCGCACGACACACAGACACAGACACACAGACACAAACACAGACACACATCACAGCCTGAACGCCGCTGACTGATCGGCTACGTGCTCTAGGGTGGACGCCACTCCACATGGCGTGCTACTTTGGGGACGAGGCCGTGGTCCGCGTGCTGGTGTCCAAGCGGGCCAATGCGCGGGCCACCGACCGAAAGAACCGACGGCCCATCGACGTGGTGCCGCCCGACCGACAAGAGGCCATCGCTCACGCCCTTGGGGCGTCCTAGAGACTACTCTCGCCACTCACACCATCATCATCGCGTCACCTTGCTGAACATGTTGTTCATCATTGAGTGTGAGAGAGTGAAACTCTTTTTGTCGTTGATTGGAGGGAAGGGTGGACCGTTTGAAGAACTTCACAGACGTGTGCAAGTGTGAAGCCGATCGCTGCTCCCTGGACTGCCACAGCGTAGCTGGAGGGCATGGTACCAGGGGCGCACCACAAGAAATAAGTCTAATCTTGAGATGTGAGGCACATGGGAGGCCGCACTACCAGAGATTAAGCTGATAAGAACAGATACTACACTTGATCTTAGCCACGAAGGCCGAGAAGATGTCTTTCCTCCTTCTCTGCTCTGCCTTTTGTAGTCTTCCTCCGCCAGGCGACCACGAGGCTTGGAAAAGGCCTGGCTTTGTCCCAAACCAATCATTTTTCTAAAGAAGCCTTCGAGCGAAGGGCACCACGTTGATGATGTTGATGCTGACATCATAGCTACATCTTGAAACCCATTGTAATGTGCAGCCATTGTGGAAGAAGTTGAAGTGGTTGGAAGTAGTTGGTATTACAGCCACTCACTTCTTGGCCTGCTTGTCCTTCTTCCTCTTCTCCTCCTCTTCCTTGGCTCGGGCGGCGATCTTCTTGATGACCTCGAGCATCTGGTCGTCGTCCTCGCCCTTGGAGCCATCGTCGTCTTCGAGGTCCTCGTCATCAGAGTCAGCCGGCGTGGGCGGCTCCGGGAAGGCCTCCCGCGGCAGGTCGAACCCGAGCTTCTTCAGCTGCTCTCGCTCTCCCTCCGGATCCTGCAGCCAAATAATGGTATATTCACGATAATGATGGTTTATGTTCATAATATTTATATAAATATTATGAACATATAACAATCATTATAAATATAAATAAAATATGGTATATGATAATTAATTTACAAGGATGATTTAATTTTTGTAAATGAAGGTAAAATGAAATTACCTCGACGGTCGATAGGACGCTCATCTGGATGAAGCCCTTGAGGGAGACCCCCGTTGGTCGCCGGCCGACCTTGTCATCATCGACATCTTCGAACATCATGAGGAGTCCGCCGTAGGTGTGCTTGTCGGTCGCTTCCTCGCCGCTGGCGTGCAGCATGCCGTTGAATTCGCGCAGATTCAAGATACCGTCCTCATCGCGATCGAATCGCTTGAAGATTTGGGTGATGATACTCACGTACTCCTCCGTGGGGTCACCATTCTCCTCAATCAGCTTCTTCACCACCTGAGGTGCCGCCTGGCCTTCCATCTTGCCCTTGAAATTCTGCAATGTCGGAATTTGACACAAAAATTGATTTATTGAATAAGTAAACCAAAATAAATTGATTTCTCTTTGTGCGCAGAGCAAAGGACGAAGACGATTCGCTTGGCTCCATCTTCTCTGCTGCTTCTGGTGTCTGCTGGCGAGAACGCCACAATCTTTGGCAGGTCTCAAGAGGCAGCATGGATTTCTTTCGCCAGAGTGGATGTGGTGCTGCTACGCCCATGCCGCTCAACCTGCGCAAGCGAGAGTTCACCAGCCGCTGCCACGGCTCTTCCGTATACTCCATCTTCTCTTCTCTGCTCGGCTGTTGCCAATCGTGCTCCCGTGGTGTGCTCTGACAGCCTGGCACCACACCAATACATCAAACAAACAAACAAACAAAGATGGTGCACGAGCTGGCCACACACATGAGCGCCGTCTCTTCGCGCTACGATGGCGGCAGCCACATCTACAACCTCGAGTGGCGGCCCGACGGGTACCGAGCTCGCCACCCCTCTCTCGCCACCGCCGAGTCTTCTCACCACTCGCACCATGCACTGGGCCGGCAGGAATGTGCTGGTGGCGGTCGGCTACGACGGCACGGTGCGCATGTACGACCCGTTCAACAAGAAGCTCTTTCACAAGATCGAGAACGCGCACAACAACAGCATCAACGTGGCGCGATACATCAGCGACCACCTCCTGGTACTCATCTGGTCCCCTCTACACGCTTCATCACTCCGTCTCATCTCATCTCGTCTCGTCTCATGGCAGCGACGTGTGTCGCATCTTGCGCTGACTCAGTGCGTGTGTCGTGTGTGTCGTGTGTGTGTCGTGTGTGTGTCGTGTGTCGTGTGTGTGTGGCTTAAGGTGACGGGGAGTGACGACGAGACGTTGAAGCTCTTCGACACGCGCTTCCCCTCGCGATGCCTGACTACCTTCCACGGCCACAGGTGGGTGGGGTGAGGTGGGGTGGGGTGATGACCCCTTGCGGCAGGCAGCTGATAGCGATGACGGCGTCATCAAGTGTTTGCTGTGTTGTTGACCTTCCACGTGCCGTGATGTGAATCCACACAGCGGCTGGGTCAAAAACGTGGAGATGTTCGGCGAAGGCAAGCTCATCTCCACCGCCTTTGACGGCACCATTCGGTTATGGGTGCGTGTGCGTGTGCGTGTGCGTGTGCGTGTGCGTGTGCGTGTGTGCGGTGGTGCGTGTGCGTGTGCGTGTGCTATGAGCCTCGCGCTGATGCGGTTGCGTGCGGTTGTAGGACATTGGCGGGGAGTACCCGCAGGACAGGAACCCGCCCAACGTGCTGTTCCAGCACAACGGCATCGCGCGGATCGCCTACTTCAAGGGCGAGGACCGCGGCGGTCCGCTGGACATGGACCTCTCGGCCGACGCCGACGACGCCGACGACGACGGCGCCTACGCCTTTGCGCCGCCCTCCAGCTCCGCGTCGCGCCTCGTCATCTCCCTGACCAACGGCTACATCGTCATTTTCCACAACCTCGACGTCTCCACGCCGCTCAAGCAAGCCGTACGCCGCACCACACTCTCTCTGCCCACGCCGCTCCACACGAATCATTATTCACCTCTCGTACGTGTGCGGTGCGGCGTGTGCGGTGTGTGCGGTGTGTGCGGTGTGTGCGTAGGAGCTGATGAACACGGATGTGACGGAGTTGTGCGACTTCTTGGACGGCGGGGCGATGACCGAGTCGATCGGCTCGCCCTCGCTCTCGGACATGTCGGATGACGTTGACTACGATGATGACGACGCCAGCGATAGTGACAGTGACAGCAACATGCAGTCGTCGCCGGCGCCCGCCTCGCCCTCGCCCTCGCCCTTCGGCTTCCCCTCCCCGTCGCCCGCCGTCTCCGTCCCCCTCTCCTCCTCGCCTATCCCCTTCGCGCCCATCTCCTACTCCCCCTCGCCCTCCTCCCCGCACCGTCGGGGCCGGGGCCGGAGCCAGGGCCTCGATCTGCCGGAGCTCGTCTCCGACACGCCGCCGCCGTCGCCCACCACCACCAGCACTACGACCACAACCACTTCGTCGGGGTCGGGGTCGGGGTCGGGGTCGGCGTCTCCGCTGCCCCGCGCCTTCCTACGAAAGACCAACCGCGTGGAGATCCTGTGGGAGGTATGGGCCGCCGCTCTCTCGGGCACTGTGAAGGCGGCGTTTGTTGACAGACAGGTCGTGTGTGCGGTGCGTGCGGTGTGTGCGGTGTGTGTCGTTTCTTTGGGTTGCGCTGGGTGGGTGCAGCCCGACCAGTTGGGCTATTCGACGTCGCTGCAGACGTCCCCGTGCGGACGCTACCTCCTCACCAGGTCCGACCCATTAATTTGCCTTTGTCCACCGCCCTTCCGCCACTCATGATTGACAGCGGGCCACTAACAGTGTGTGTCGTGTGTGCGTGCGTGTGCGTGTGTCGTGTGTCGTGTGTCGTGTCGTTGGATGTGAAGGCGTCATATGACCCGAGACGGGAGCGAGATCTGCTGCGTGTTCGACATGGACCAAGAGGCCACCCTCATCGAAAAGCTGCGGAGGGAGGGCACGTCGGCCCTCACGCCCGAGGAGGAGGCCGTCCTCTACACACCGCGCGGCCTGGCCCGCGTCTTCCCCAATCGCCTGGTGCACCTCATCCCGGTACCTCTCTCTCTCTCCCCGCCCACACGTGTGCTTCGAAGCCCTCGCGATGGCGGCCTGATCACCGCCGCCGCCGCCGCCACCACCATCACCACGCGGCCGACACAACAACAACAGGACTCGAGCTCGGGCATGGGGTACATCAAGGAGCCCTGCTTCTCTTCGCACGACCCCTACTTCATCTGCTCCCCCTACTACAAAGGGTACCACCGCCCGCCCGCCCGCTGTACCATTGATGGCGCCGAGATGAGCTCATGCCAATTTGTGTGTCGCAGGCTGCGGCTGTTCCGATTGGAGGAGCTTAGGGGCAACACGCAGAGGAACCGGACCCTGCCGGTGCTGCGCCACCCGTCATCCCTGCGTCCACGACGCGGCTGGGCGCTCCTCAACACCCACCATGCCCCGTGCGCGACCACCTCGAGCCACACACCACCACTACTACCGCACCACTACGTGCCTCGCTGATCTCTTTCGCGGTGTTGTGTGTGTGCAGAGTGCTGAGCTGCCGCTATCATCCCCATTACCCGTGCGCGAGCCTTGACGTCCATCACGCCATAACACAACATTCCTCCCCGCTCACTTGTTTCCTTTCCATTCCCTCCCACCCCATCAGGATGATGGCCTCGGGCGGGCTCGACGGGAAGGTGGTCTTCTACCTGGGCGGACAGGACCTCCACCCGAGCGTGCCCATGCGGACCTGACCCATCCCCCCTTCTCCCCTCCCTCCCCCCCCAAACCACCGCCTTGTACACAGACCTCCACACAACTTGCGCCAAGCCGGCGTCGTTGTCATCAAAAACGTTTTGGTGTTCGCGTTCGAAGGGGAAAGGGCCGGGCGCCAGGCCTGGGCTGGGCTGGGCCTAGGTCGGGCCGGGCTGGGCGAGGAGGGCCTGCCAGGAGTCGGACAGGGAGAGGTACCACTTGAGGAGGCCCGTCATGAGGGTCCGCGCTGGCTGGAGCCCCGGCTGCGGGGGGTACCCCGCATAGCCCGGATTGGTCGGCGGGAACGACTGCTGGACCCACGCCTTTTCCAGACACAACACAAACGTGAGTTGCGTGCGGCGTGTGTCGTGCGTTGCGCGCGTGTCGTGCGTTGTGTGGTGTGTCGGTCATGTAGTGCGTTACCTTGAGATCGCCGATGGGCGTGCGGCCGTCCTTGATGAGGGAGTCGAGGTTGTGGACGCCTTTGATGGGTTCGGCCTTGAGCAGGAGGGCCTTCACCTTCTGCTGCGCGAAGTGGATCTCGTTCAGCTTCGCATGCAGGAGGCGCAGCCGATCGCCCAGCATCTGCAGCTGCTGCGGGTGGATCGACCTGCAGTAGTCCGGCACTGCGCGACCGATCGTCAGCATCACGTACATGCGTGTGCGTGTGCGGTGGTGCGTGTGCGTGTGCGGTGGAATGCTTGATGGGGGGGGCGTACTGATGGTCTGGATCTCGATGGGTCGCTGGAAGATGTCGCGCTCGAGGGCGAGGGCTTCGCTGAGGACATTCACAACTTCGCCCAGCGGCGACGCGGAAGCCAGCGGCGGTGGTGCGCTTTGGCTCGACGGCGAAGTGGGCGTCGTCGGCGTAGCGGCGCCCGGTATCGGCGGCTGTTGTCTGTTGTACGATTACTTAAGACGTGCGGTTACACCACACACACACACACACACACACGCACACACCGCACACGAGAAGAGTAGGGTACCTTCCAGCGGTGGTGGGCACGGAGAGAGACGACAGGGCGGCGATGAGGGCGTGTTGGCCGTCGTTCTTGCGGGGCGTCTCGCTGTCGGTCCCGCCGTCTGCAGCTGCGCCGGGGGCCGGGCCGCCACCCGTGGAGAGCTGCGCGATGTCGTGCGAGGAGGAGGACCGCGACGGTAGGTCGTGCCCACTCGCATCCACTGCGCGACCGATCGATCGGACATAAAAAAACGAGTGAGCGGCCGAAAAGGCGAAAACGAACGCGAACGCGAAAGTGAAAGCGAAAGAGATGGGAGGGGAGGATGTACGGCGGAGGGAAGCGCGACTCCGTCGGAGGTCGTTGATGACGGAGTCCAGGTGGCGAACCCAGTCGTCGCGCTGCTGCGGGCTTGCGGCAAGGAACGACTCCACAACGCCGTACTTGGTTCGCAGCACGAAACCTTTATTTCGTTATTGTTTGTTTGTTTCGTTAACGGGTTTGATTTGTTTCGTTTGGGTTTGAGTTTGAGTTTGAGTTTGGTATTCGTTTGGTGATGGCGCAGGGGGAGTCGCAGGGAGTCGCAGACGCGTACCCGTGGCGCTGCCTTCGAGCTTGCCGCTGTTCATGTTGTTGAGCGAGATCTGCTCCTTGAACGTGTAGTAGTACTTCTCCTCGAACATGTACTGTCCCTCCACAGTGAGCTCTTCACAGCACGACACGACACGCGCGCACAGCACGACACGACAGGAGGGCACGACACGCGCGCGCAGCACACGACAACCGGTAAGGAGGGCAGTGGCGCACCCGTCTTCGTTCGGTGATGACGAGGATGTCGTTGAAGAGGAAGAGGTAGCACATGGGGGAGGCCGCCTGCGCGCCCCGGACGACCCGCGTCACCTCCCCCTCGTGGACCAGCCTCCGCGAGGGCTGCACCAACTCCTGCACTCCCCCAACGTCCACCCGCCTTAGTCATCGTGTGCGCTGGTGCGTGTGTCGTGTCGTGTGCGTCGTGTGTGTCGTGTAAACTCGTGTAGTGTCGTGCCTCGGAGAAGCCGGTGATGCTCTGTTGGATCTCGAGCAGCTTTTGCATGTTTTCGGTCCACCGCCTGTGTTCGTTGATCTTGATCGCCACCTCCCTGCGCGCGCACACACCGCCACAAGAACCCACGCACACGTCTGATCAGACGTACCCCCTCAAGGCAACCAAGGAAGGGGAAGGGAGGGGAGAGAGAGAGGCGAACCGCAGCAGCGCCAGAGCGTCGGCCAGCAGCGGCTGGTCGGGGTGCCCCTCGGGGGTGTACTTGAGCAGCTCCTGCATCGACGCAATGCGTGGCACGCAAAGAATGAGCGGTGTCGATGCAAGCAAGAGCGCGCAGTCGCCCAGACACCACACACACGCACACAACACACACCACATGGCCCGGACCAGGCAACGCACCTCAACGAGAAGTACGTAGCGGGGTATGCGCTGCACGGGCATGATCTGGTAGTCCTGGAACGACAGCTTGATGCCCTCGGGATGGTCCCTGCATTTCTGTCGACGCACACACGACACACGACACACGACACGACACACGACACGACACACACCACACACGACACACACAACACACCACGCACAGGAGGGTGTTGAGTTACGACACACGAGATTGCGCGTCAGGGCCGGAAGTGCTCCGGGGGGGGGTATGGGTGCGGCAAAAGAACGGACCTCGACCATCTGCGCAAAGTTGGGCTGCTGCTGCAGGCGCTGAAAGGTGTCGACGGCCTGGGTGTAGTTGTTGATGTACGTCGTGTACATCCGCAGGAAGGGCGACTACCGACACGCCGCACACGCACACGCACACCGCACACGATCAACGGCACACGCGCAAGTGAGTCTGGTGTGTGTGCCGTGTGTGCCGTGTGTGTCGTGTCGTGTACCAGGGCGAGGAAGACATCGCCGAGACAGGTCTCGAAGGACCAGTCCTTGGCGCGCTCCTCGAGCTGCTTGAGGATGGTCTCGTTGACCCCCAAAATGAGCTCCACGTTGGAGAACAGCTTGGCCTTGTCGTCGTTCGCCAGGAGCCCCGCCTGCTGCAGCGGCACCATAAAGCCCTGATTGATTGGTCGATTGATTTATTAATGGCTGCATGCGCACGAGTGGCCGACACACGACACGACACGACCAACGACCAACGACCAACGACCAACGACCAACGACCAACGACCAACGACCAACGACCAACGACCAACGACCAACGACCAACGACCAACGACCAACGACCAACGACCAACGACCAACGACCAACGACCAACGACCAACGACCAACGACCAACGACCAACGACCAACGACACGTGCGGAGGGTTGAGTCGCACCTGAACCACGATCCGGAGGTTGGCCACGTAGCTCCGCTCGGTCTTGACGATCTCCATCGCGCACCGCCTCCTTTGTCGCCTGAGTTTTACTGCGCGGTGTGTTGTGTGTGGTGCGTGTGGTGTGTGTGGTGCGTGTGGTGCGTGTGGTGCGTGTGGTGCGTGTGGTGTGTGTGTGGTCAATGAAACTGTCGCACCTCGCACGCCCAAGCAAGCAGCGAAGCGAGAGGGGGGGGGGTACGGTCGTCGCGGTGGCGCCGTCGCACCAGCCACCGACGCACGAACGACTGCGCGGTGATGATGCATTGTTCGGTCTGCAGGAAGGTGAGTCGTCAGAAGACCGACCCACTCCAGGGTTGGGCAGAGCAACGATTGAATCGCACGACGACGGCGAGGGTGGTACGTACCTCGAGCACTTGGGTGCGCTCGCTGATGTCGCTCTCGAGCGGGTGCATGTCGAGGGCCTCCGGGTGGAAGAGCGACCACGACACGAGCTTCACCCGATCGCGCTCCGCATCGATGAGCTTCTGTACTATGTCGGACGCCACTCCGCTCTCTTCGGCGGAAACCTGCATACGACACGACACGACAGCATGCGTCAGCATTCCACACCCCTGCGCATGCGAAATGGACGCACACGCACGCGCGCGCACACACACCACGTATGCCGCGTACCCTCAGCTTCTGGAGATAGTCTTCACTCATCTGCTCGAACTCCTGTTGATGACACCAAAGTGAGACCTCACGCTGTCCGCGTGCGGTGTTTGTGGTGTGTGTGCGTGTGCGTGTGCGATGCGTGTGGGTGTCGAGACCTTGGTCTTGGCTTCCAGGAGCGGCAGGGCGTGCCGGACGTAGTTGTCGCGCACCCTCTGGAGCTGGGCCACCTCCTCAAAGTACTTCTTGGCCTTGGGCCTGTGCGTGGGCGGCGGCGACGGGTCCGACTGCGACCGGCCCGTGCTCGTCACGATGTGCCCGTTGACCTCCTCCCACGCCAACAGCTGCGACACCCGGTACGACTTGGACCCGTCCCGCCTGCCGCCGCCGCCACCGCCGCCATCGCTGCCGCCGAACTTGAGTCGGTTCAGCCGCGCCTCGATCTCGTCCAGCGATCCGCTCGCGCCACTGGCGGTGGTGGTGGTCGGCGCGGCGGTCGGGGAGGAGGAATGATCGGAATGGTGATGGCCGGTGGTCTTGGCCTCGAGCTCCCGGCGCACGTCGTCGCCGAATGGCAGGTTGCTCACGCGGCCGCCGCTGGGCAGAAGCGTGGCCGAGCCGCCGCTGCCGCTGTGGCCACGCGGCGATGGCTGGCGCGGCGAGGGCGTGGTGCTGCTGGTGCTGCTGGTGCTGCTGCCGGCGGGCGCCGAGTGTGGCGAGGGGAGCGGCCCAGAGATCTCGACCGAGGACGATGACGACGAGACCGAGTGGGACGAGCGACCCGGCAGGCGCTTCAGCCAACTGCTTCGGCTCTTCTTCTCCTTGTGAGTCGTCTGCTGGCCCTCCTCTTCCTCCTGCATTTTTATTTCAATTAATTGAAATAGATATTAAAAGAAAATAATGGTAAAGGGTAAATGGGTGTTCAGCGTAACTAGTAAAGATAATTATTGCAGTCAATTATTTATATTTACCAATAATGATAAAACCATAACACCAAAAAATAAATATATAATTTAAAAAGAGGCCGTACGTCTTCAATCTCTTCGACGTAGTTGCTGGGGAAGACGCCAGTTCGGCCATCTTGCGTGACGCCGGCCCACCAACGCGGATTCTTTTGAATGACTTGAATAACTTCACCCGCATTGAAGGACAGGTCGCCCTCCCTCTCTCCTGCGAATGCGTAGAGGCCACGGCACAGGCACATTGGCAAGTCCGCCTCGCTTCCCTCCTTTACCTTCTTTTTCTTCTTCGGCTCCATGATGGCTGTACACCTGCCTCGCAGAGCTCGAGATGAAGATGGAGAGAACGAAGATGGAGAGCAGAAGTTTAGTACTTTGAAAAAGGCGACGAAATTTCCCCATTCAAAAAGAAAGACCAAGGCGGACATTATGACGAAGGTGGTGCTAACGAACACACACGCTTTCTCTCTCTTTGTTGTTGTGATGTTGTTGTTGTTGATGATCATCATTCCTCGCTGTACAAGCCCGACAAAGGTACACCCGCTCCACTCACAGCCACTGCAAAGGGTCGTGATGTGTCGATCGTTGTACCTCGTCTCTAGGCCCGCCCGTTGTTGAGACCCTCCGCATCGCCGCCGTCGGTCACGGTCGAGATGACGCTACACGAGACGTCCTTCACCGGACCGCCGCCGCCGCCTCGGCCGCTGCCCGGGGCTGCAGCGGTTGGCGGCGCGTGTAGTGGTGGTGGCGGCGATGTGATGCCGCCGCCGCCTCCCCTGGGCATCTCGACGGGTGCGCGGTAGTACTGAGGAGGCGCGGGCGCAGGTGATCCGTAGGCCATCTCCATCTTGCGTCGCTTGCCCATCGCGCCGTTGGTTTCGTCGGCTGTTGAGGTGGCGGTCGTGGTGGCGGCGGCGGCGGCGGTCTGGTGGGCGGCGATGGTGGTCCCGGGCGTGTAGCCGTAGTACGGCGGGACGTGAGGCGGCGGCGGCGACATGCCCGCTGCAGCGCCCATGGGCAGGCCGGGGAGCACCATCGGTCCCATCCCTCCGCCCATGCCCTGCATTGCGTGCATTCCTCCGATCGGGTGCATTCCACCGATGCCGTGCATCCCGCTGATCCCGGGCATGGCCATTGGTGGCAGGCCGTGGGCTCCGAGGCCGTGGCTCGCCGGGCCGTCGCCGTAGCTCGCATACTCGGACACCTGCTGTGGTGGCGTCTTGGGCAGGATGCGCACGGGAGCGTGTGTTGATTGACCCGAGGATGGCTGCTCGGCGGCGTAGGACGTCTGCTGGTAGTGAGAGCGCAGGTACATCGCCGGACTGGCGGGGGACTTGTACTGCCGAGCAAAGCAACACGTCAGCAACGGCACCTCGTGTGTGCGTGTGCGTGTTGAGTGCCGGCGTAAGGTGTGTACCTCCTGGGCGAGCATGGAAGTAGGGGTGGAATGGTGAGACCACTCGCCGGTGTTGGCCATGACGGGACTCTCGGCGCCGAACGGCATGCCGGGGCCGAGCGAGAAGGGTCGCAGCGGAGGCAGCTCCTTGCCGCCAAGGGCCACCCACGGGTGCATGTTGATCTCGTTGACCGTGATTCGCTTCTCGGTGTCCACCGTGAGCATCTTGCGAATAAGGTCGGCCAGAACTGCAGATTCGCGCACGACGATCAGCGGCCAGTGTAAGAAAAGAGGCAAGATGACATTGTGAATAGAATGGCGATGATGAACGCGGACACGCACCAGGACTGATCGTCTCCGGTAGTGTGTACTGGCCATCGATAATGTGTGAGACGTTGCCGAAGGGGAACCGGCCCGCGAGCATCGTGAATAGCACCACGCCCATACTCCAGACGTCCACTTCCGGACCCACATACTTCTTCGCCAGGATCTGCGGGCGCAAGAGAAAAGGCGACACTCGTTGAGTCACTTGCCACGGCATCATGCATTGTCTCTGTGAGAGAGTAGAGCTGGTTATACCATCTCGGGCGCGGCGTAGGCAGGCGTTCCGCAAAATGTGCTTCGGAGAGCACCCACCTGCGAGTAGTTACTCAGCCCAAAGTCGATCAGCTTGATGTTCTTGACACCGTCCAGCAGGATGTTCTTGTGTTTGATGTCCCTGCGATGAATAATTAGATCGCTGAGCTTTGGCGCCGATTCGGGTAACAAAATGAAGAAGACGGGCAGAGGTGGTGAGCGGGAAATGAGTCGATCGGGCGGTGGCGACCATACCTGTGAATGATGTTGTGCGAGTGGCAGTATTGGACGGCAGAGAGGAGTTGAAGGAAGAGTCTTCTCGCTTCGTTCTCGTTCAGCTTGCCTTGTTTGGTGATGTAGGTGAGAAGCTCGCCGCCTTCGCTGTACTCCATCACGATGTTGATTCGATCCTCCGACTCGATGACGTCGTAGAGCTTGGCGATGTTCGGATGGATCAACTTCCTCTGGATCGCTATTTCCCTTCGACTGCGCTCTTGCTCGGCGCTGTCCATCAGGTCCTTCTGCAGGATCTTGATGGCCACCTGACGGATCATAACACGACAGGCACCTCTCCGTGTCAGGACTTCATCATCATCATCATCATCATCATCATCATCATCATCATCATCATCATCATCATCATCATCTCGTCGACTGATCAGCTCAAAGAGAGAGAGAGATGTACCTGGTGTCGAGTGGTCCGGTGGTAAGCCAATTTGACTTTACCGTAGCTGCCCTGGCCCACGTTCCCCTCCACGATGTAGTCCCCCACGAGGTTGTTGTCCTGCAGAGCGTGACCGGACGACTCCTCGCCCTCGGTCATGCTCGTGTCCGTCTCGTCCACGCGTCGAATACGCCCCGAATACAAAACTGCACGGATGACGCATAGAGAGAGAGATGAGTCGTTCGTCCACTCTGTTGCAGCCCATCAATGCTGGGGGTTGACGGTACCGGTGTCGTCCTTGGTAAATTTGCTGATGGAGAAGTCGACGGGGAAGACGGACCCGTCCTTGTGTCGCACCTGAAGCCGCCGCCGGCCGCTGAGGCTCCACGAACTCTCCATGTTGATGGCTGGCTCCTCGCCCTGCGACATCTCCTTCCCCGAATTGTCCTCCTCGGCTTCGCCGTCGTTCTCCCTCTCCTTTCCCTTGCGCTCCCGCAGCGCGTGGGCCGACATCTCGTTTTGCAGCTCGTTGGCTTGCGTCTCGATGCTGTGTTCACTCTCCAGTCGGGTCTCGCCTCCGTTTCCAGCCGCGCCGTCCTTGGCTCCATCTTCGCTGCTCTCGCCTCCGCCTCCCTTTCCCCCCGGCACGCTTCGTTTTCGCTTGCGCGATCCGCGATTCGAAGATGTGGAAGATCCCTCCTCGTCGCCCCCGGCCGCTGTTGAAGATGTGTTGGTAGATGAGGAAGATGAGGAGGACGGGGAAGAGGAGGAGGAGGCAGCGTCACGGTCGACGTCGATATTAATCTTGCCGCCACTGCCCTTGGTGAGGCTGGGGACGAGCACGCGAATGTGCTTGCCGATGAGCTCGGTGTCGGTGTAGCCAAAGAGGGGTGCGACGAAGTTTCTGTTGCAGGAGACGATCTTGCCGTGCTTGTCGAGGGTGAAGACGGCCTCCATCTCGGTGTCCACCTTTTCGACGCGGCCCTTGAAGAGCTCGACGACGCCCACCTTGAGCTTGGTGACCTGGAGCGAGACGGGGAAGACGGTGCCGTTCTTGTGTCGCGCGGGCACGTTGCGGGTGTGATTAATGACCTTCATCGTGCCCGTGCGGCGGTAGTTCGCGATGTAGAGGTCGTGATGTTCGCGATGGGGCGAGGGCATGAGGATGCAGAGGTTCTTTCCGACCAATTCGCTCACCGAGTAGCCCCAGATGGCCTCGCATTGCTTGTTGCAGGAGATGATGGTCCCCTCGTTGTTCGCCGTGACGGTGCCCGCTGTGTCTTCCACGCGATCGATCATGCCGATAAACATCTTCGTGCTGCCCATCTGGACCTCGGACACCGCCAATCGAATGGGGAAGATGGAGCCATCCTTGTGCTGACCCTCAACGAGCCGGCTCATTCCAATAATCCGCTTTCGTCCGGTGTTGTGATAGTTCTGGAGGTAGGCATCGTGCTGCTCGCGGTAGGGGGTAGGGAGCAGCTTGTTCACCTTCTGGCCCATCAGCTCCTCCAGCTCGTAGCCGAACATCTGGCACGCCCCCTTGTCCACTGATTGAATCGCGCCCAGACTGTCGATGGTGATGATGGCGCTATTGACCGACTGTTAAAAGAGGAGATTATCAGCACGCGCATTTGTCCGAGATCCCAAGGCTAATCGGGTCAATTAACCGCCCCCGCCCCCTCATATCGGCCGCTCGATTAAGTAGGCGCCCGTACCATGTGTCGGTCGCTTGCCGCGCGAAACATGATGGCGGCGGCACGCTCCTGCGCTGGACCTACTTTTGTATCGATCCTCCTCTACCCAAACAAAGACCAGACCACACCACCTTCGGTCCTTCGCACGCGCGCTCAAGAGAAGGAGGTCGCCAAACAAAGAACCGCCTGGCCCAACCTGTCTCTGCCAGCGTCCCAATTATTTGGTCGACGAATTCAGGGCGGGGTCAGGGGTGGTCTGTTTTCCTTCCTTGGCGTGTGACCCATGGCAGCGGTGTACCAAAACAGGCAAGTTGAGTGAAAGGATCCTAAAAGAGAGACGGGCGCAAGCAGTACCTGATTCACAACCCACACACTTCCCTACCTGACCATCTTGATGAAGTACTTGTTCGCTGTCTTGGTTGCGCTGGCGATCGCGCTCCAGCTGGTCAACTCCCTCAACTGGTCCAAGTTGAGCTCCGCGGCTCAGGTACTGACGCCAACCCCCCCCCCCGGCACGCCATCTGCATCAACTTCGCTTACAGCGCCCCATGGGGTGAATGCAGGGTGCGTGTAACGACACTCAGGACTTGAGCGCCTTTGTCAAGTTCAACTCGACCTTTCACAGCACCCTGCAGGCGTGTGCTAGTGGCTGCCTGGGCGCCTCTGCGTGCAGCGCCACGTGCATCCAGCAGAAGGTGGGCCTTACCCCCGGCTGTGCCACCTGTTTCGGCGATGACGTCGGCTGCACGGCAAGCAACTGCGTCCTCAGCTGCCTCAGCCCCAGCTCCCCTGCCTGCGTGGACTGCTCCAACAAGTACTGCCTGCCCGCTCTGCTGACCTGCGCCGGCGTGCCCCAGAGCGCTCTCCCCAACTGATGTGCCATCGATGATGGCTCGCACTCGATTGAAGCGGCCAGCCCCTCAACATACAGTGGAAGTCAAAGCCTTCGCTCGCCTCTTGCTTCTTTCGTTCATGCACGCTGGGGTGGGCGAGTGGTCGCGGAGGCGTGTCGCTCGCCTCCCCGTCAGCCTCTTTATTGACTCGAGAGAGAAGCCAGCTCCTCCTCGTTCAGTCACTCACCAACTCTCTCAAAAGCCTCTGCTTTCGCTCGTTCTCGCTTGCCCTTCAAAAATGCCGTGTGCGACGTGTCTCTCGTCGTCCAGTCCGCTCTCGTTCGTTCGTTCGCTTGCCCTCTTCAAAATGTCGTCTGATGGTCCACCGGTGCCTCATCTCCATCGCGGCGAGGCCGAGCGGGGGCCTACTGGGCCGAGAACTCGTCGAATGGTATCACCACTCGCCCGCAGTCGCGCACCTCTTTCGTGTCGGCCCAGGCGCGAGCCAGCTGCGTGCACTCGTCGATGAGCTGCTGGTGCTCCTCGATGGGATTGGGCGCAGAGAGAAGGTCGAGCGTGTTGGATGCAGAGGGCACTGGCAAGCTGAACAGGGCCGAAGTATTGCAATGCACTTCGTGGGTCTTCGCGCTACACCGCCGACATGACACAGGTCAGCTCACGGTGACAACGAGAAACAAGCAACGTAAAGCGCCCATGCCTACCTGTACAGCTTCTGTAGCATTATTCGCTCTTGCTCCAGGACTGGCGTGAGTTGTGATGATATGTCGATCAGGTTCCTAGAACAATTCAGCGTGAGCATGATGTTTGCATCTCGAATAGAAAGATCTGCGAGATACCTGGCTGTCTTGCTGACGATTTGCCGGAAGAGGTCTTGCTCTAGCATCGCCTTATCTGTGTAGGACGTCTGTTGGTCCAATTCGAAGCCATTTCGTGCCCTGATTGATAAAATCACGATTATTGCGCGATTGCGATTGAGTGCAAATTTGATATTGAGTTCATACCCTTTGGGATTGATGAAGATGGGGGTAGTGTCCTCGCGTCCATAGCTGTGAGGCGTCAGTTGTCGATGCCTATCCTTGCGCGAGAAAGCTGCAAATTACAGAAGATGAGATTGAACCGAATGGAAATTTGAGCAACTTGGCAGCAATAACAACGTACTGACGTCGTCCTTGTCCTCCGTGCTGAAGCAGCTTCCCATGTTGCTCCTCTACACAATGATGGCGTCGCTTTACGCCAGCTGTCGTGTGCGTCGATTGAACGAATGCAGATGTGCAGCGCCCACCAGCCCAAGGCCATACCTTCATACCAATTTTCTTCCGTCGTTCTTGGTCGACAAATAAGAAAAATAAACTTTATTTTCATTTTCCATTTAAAACAAAAAAACGTTGGTAATTACAATAATTGATTGAGCACAATGGAACTCGACAACAAATCGCAGAAGAGACCCCGGGAATCGGAAGCCGGAGAGGGGATTGAGCAACCAGCGCCATCTTCGGTTGAATCGCAATCGAGTAGCGGAAATAGAATCGATCCCAATCTCAAAAATGAGCCCCTGAACGAGACCGACCTGCAGGCCTTTGGCCACGTTGTCCACGTTGCCGCGGCGGACAGCGACGACTTCAACGCCGTGACCGTCCTGCGGGTGGTGCTCTTCCACTCGGCCACCAAGGCCACCGAGGAGCGCGTCATCTCCAAGCGCGCCTTCACCCCGCTCCACATGTCCAAGAGCGCGTGGAAGAAGTTCAACAACAAGCCCACCACCAAGGAGCTCAAGAAGCGCAAGCTCGAGCACCCGACGGGCGCGCTGCCGCTCATCACCCCCGCTGCTGCTGCTGCCGCGGCCGCCCAGCTCGACCTCGACTCCGCCCCGCGGCGGCTGCGTAGAGCCGAAAAGGGTACCGCACACGCCCAACCGCACACGCACCACCGCACACGCGCGACACGACACACACGACCAGAACTGACAACAGAAAACGTCTCTGCGTGCAGTCTTGTCCGAGCGCACGCAGAGATTCTTGCTGGTACTGGAGCGACCGCACGACAATCACAACCAGCAGGCCGTGCTGCGGTACCTGACGCCTCCACGCCCTATGTTTGTGTCGTGCGTGTGCGTGTGCGTGTGCGTGTGCGTGTGCGTGTGCGTGTGCGTGTGCGTGTGCGGTGTGTGCGTGTGCGGTGGGGGGGGGAACGCTGACTGTTCGTCCGTTCCTTTTGCGCCGAGAACAGGACGGCAGAGTGTCTGGGCATCCAGCACGTGTGGATCGTGAAGAACGTGGAGCAGAAGCAGAAGAAGTTCGTCGCCAATCGCAAGATCACGCGGGTGCGGCTTTTCTTTTTCTTCCTTTTCTTCTTTTTCTTCTTTTTCTTTCGTCGTCGAAGCTGCAGGACCCACACATGAAATACACAGGGCAGCGATGACTGGCTGAGCGTGCGCGAGTTTCAAACCACCACCGAGTGCCTCATGGCCCTGCGAGAAGACAACCGGTGAGCCTTCGCTTTCGCACGACCGCACAGGCGCATGCACGCACGCACACCAACGACGCAATTCCTGACTTCGTCCGGTGTTGTGTGTGTGTGTGTGTGTGGTGTGTGTGTGTGTGTGTGTGCACAGACAGGTGTGGGTGACCGATCTGAGCAAGACGGCCATCTGCCTCGACGAGAAGGTCCAGGTCGACATCCCCGCGAAGGTCGCTCTCGGTAACTAACCACTCACGCCCCTCGCATGCAGCCGTCTCTCTCTCTTGCGTGTCCGACCTTACCCCACCCAACTCACTCGCCCTTCTCTCGTGGCAGTGATCGGACGCGAGGCCGACGGCTGCAGCCAAGAGATGCTCGCGGCTGCCGACAAGAGGTCCGTGTGTACTGTGCGTGTCGTGCGTGTCGTGTGCGCCATGTGCTGTGTGTGAACTCATCTCGGGAATTTTATCACCGTTCACAGGGTGTTCCTGCCGATGTACGGCTTCTCCGATTCATTCAACCTCAGCGTGGCGACGGCCCTCCTCCTGCAGAGGTGCGTACCGTATGCACGCGCGCGTTGCATTCATCGCCGCACACACCGCACGCACCGCACACACACACACACACACACAGTGTATGGCTGTTCAACTAAAAACGAGTAACACGGGACGTGGCAGGCTCTTCCTGGTGTGTCCCCAAGCGCGCGGCGACCTGCCCGAGGAGGAGAAGCACCATCTCCGGCTCAAGTGGTACACCCAGCTCGGTACGCTGCCCCCCCCCCAAACACCACATGAGTGGTCTCACATCAACGACGACGATAACCAACGCTGAAGGTTTACCTGGTTCACGCATTGTATGTGTGTGTGTGTTGTGTTGTGTGTGTTGTGTGTGTTGTGTGTGTTGTGTGTGTTGTGTGTGTTGTGTGTGTTGTGTGTGTTGTGTGTGTTGTGTGTGTTGTGTGTGTTGTGTGTGTGTGTGTATGTGTGTGTGTGTGTGTGTGTGGTGTGTGCAGCCAAGGACGACGAGCAACGAAGAAGCGTGTACGCGCAGTGGGTCAACAACCCTCCCGCGCCGCTGGACGATATCAGACCCGACGAACGGGTAACGAATTGGTCCCTTTTGCAACATGTTTGCATGGACGGACAACTCATATAAGCGTCTGCGCCCCGCTTCACTGCATCAGGTGCCGATCGTGATGAAGAAGGTCATGAAGCGGATCACGCAGAAGGAGGAAGAGGTCCAGAAGGAGTTCCACGAGCGAATGGCCGCCTCCACCTCCTCCTCTACTTCCACTTCCACTTCAACCTCCACCTCCACCTCTACAGAACAACAGTAAACTCTTTCGTATTTATCAAAAGCAAAATTGTTTGTAGTTTGATGGGTGGTGATGATGGCGATGGTGGTGGTGATGATGATGATGATGATGATCAGGCGGTCTTGGTGAACTTGTTGAAGACCTTGGCGAGGGTGTCGCGCGACTCCCACCACGGGAGGATGATGATGATGGTGCCGGCCACGACGCCCCACGTCAGCGACAGGGTCACCCAGCCGTAGAAGAAGGTCTTGGAGAAGACATAGCCGGAGAGGACCAGCGGCGCCGGCCAGGCGATGACCAGCACCGACGCCAGCACCGACCCGCCGATGATGCTCACCTTCAGCGCCTTCTTCAACATCTCGTCGTTGTCCTCTTCGCTCGCCGCCGCCACCGCCGCCTCGAGCTCCGCTTCGTCGTCCACCGACTCAGTCATCTTCTTGTTCTTGTTCTTGTTCTTCTGGTCGTAGAGCAGGTGGACCTTCTCGCCGTCTTCGTCCTCCTCATCAACCATGACGTCATCGTGGTGGCCGTCGTGGTGGTGGTGCTTGTCTTCGACCAGGGCGATGGAGTCGCGCATGAGACTGAAGTCAAAGTTGTCGGGCCTGACGAGGGAGACGATGAGGCAGATGAGGCCGCCGCTCACGATCGACGTCAGGTTGCCCGCCAGGAAGGGCTCGTTGTGGGCCGTCGTCTCCAGCGTGACCTCGCCGTACATGACCCCCGCCGTGAGCAGCCACGCCGCAATACCCAGCAGCATCCCTGTCGTTTGTGTTGGTTGGCGTGGTTGTAATGTGGTTTGTTGTAGTTGTGAGTGTTGCTCGCGCGCGTGTGTGTTGACGGACCTACGATGGCGCCGACGACTGAAGCGATCTCGCTCATCTTGCCCCACAGCACAAGCATAGAAATGGGAATCACTGCGCGGTGCGCGGAGAAGATGATGAAGAAGACGTAAAAAAAAGAACTGTGAGTCGTGTGCACAAAACGAGCGACAGAGGCCTTGAGTGGGTACCGGCGGAGCCGATGAGGATGCCGGTGAGCATGTAGACGTAGCCCAAGCTGAACCCAAAGTGGACCAGCACGAGGGCCAGGAGACTGCTGAACACGCCGTAGCCCACGATGGACCCCCGGATCACCTGTTGCGGCGCAAGCCACTCTCAGCCCAATCCTTGGGCTTCCAACCAAGAAGAAGCTTGGGCGGTACCAGCAGCGTCGCCGTCGGCGAGGCCTCGGGCCTGATGTAAGAGCGGAAAATGTCGAACGTGATCAACGACGACACGGCCATGCACTCGGCCGCACCTGTTGACGACACCCGCCCACCCGCACGCACACATACGACACACACAACGCGAAAGGTCAACACTGATGGTGGTCGGTACAGGAGGCGAACGATGAGGTGACCGCGGTCGGGCGCACCAGTGGAGACGACGGCCATGAAGAGCATAAGCAGGAAGCCGAGGGCGCCGGCCTTGCCCAGCAGGAGCTCCACCACGAGCGGACCCACGATTCCCTGCCGCACCTTGTACTCGGGGAGCTCGAGGCCGAGCGCGACGCCGGCTAGACCGAGCGAGGTGGCCAGGGTGAAGGGGATGGCGAACCACACCAGGCCCCCCAGCAGGAAGGCCTTGACCGCAGCAGACGGCTTGGAGGCGATGGCGCTCTGCCAGTAGCTCTGATCCACGAACACCGTACCGAAGTTGACCACAATGTTGATGATTCCAAAGAATCCTTTCGGTGTGTGTCGTGTCGTGTCGTGTCGTGTCGTGTCGTGTCGTGTCGTGTCGTGTCGTGTGTCAGAACACAGACTAATACGCGGAGGGGGAGGTCATAGCGTACCTCCTTCGAGGGAGGCCATGGTGAGGTAGGAGCCGCCGGCGTTGCCGATGACCGGCGTGTGGGCGGTGACGGCGGCCAGCCGGTCGTAGATGCCCGAAGGCCCGCCCAGCACGTTGTCGGTGAGGTACAGCGTGAACGTGATGACCAGCAGCAGCACGAACACGAACGCCGTGTTCATGTACGCCGCCAGGAAGGCCGCTCTGTTGATCCAGGTCATGAATACAATGATGAAGATCGACGATGGTGGTGTTGATGGAGGTGACGGAGGTTGTAGTGCAGTACCTCAGGCCTCCCATCATGGTGTAGATGATCACGCCGACAGGAATGAGCGCGGCGGCGGCCCACACATGCATGCCGGTGAACTGGTGCACGGCCGCGGCGCCTCCGAGCAACAACATCTGCGTCACCAGGAGGTTGGTCAGGAAGGCAAAACCCAGGAACACCTTGTGCGCCAGATTGGTCCCGAATCTGTAGTTGGGCGCGAGGGTGGGTGGATGTAAGTCAGTCGACTGTCTGCCCACCACACGGCTGATACCATCACCCATCACGTCGCACCTGGCCTTGATGATCTCGGGGAACGTGTGGGCGTTGGGCGCCTTTCGCTTCACGCTGATGGCCACAATGCCGAACAGTAGCACCTAAGGTTACGCCACGAAGAGGGAAGAGAAGAGAAGAGGTTGGTGTGACATTCGGAGGTATTGGGCAGACTTGCTTTGAGTGACGTGGCGGAGAGCAGTACCTGCACTGTGGCGCCGGCGGCGTACCTGCAAGGGGGTGAGACCCACAGCCGAGGACGACGCATGATGAACGCGTCAGCGGTGAACTAGAAGGAGAGGAAAAGAAGGAATGGAGTTGCGCACCAGAACGAGCCGCTGATGCCGTAGAGGTAGGCAACCGACGTGGACTGCAGGATTGTAGCTGCCCACGTCCACTGCGACACCAACACGGACGCTGCGCGCCAACAACACGCAACAATCCAATGTTATTATTGTCTCGCTACTCGCTGCATGCGACCTCGTGTAGCCGCAGAGTCTGTTGGTGAGTACATACCCATGAGGCCGGTTTTAACGTTGCGGTCTGCTGTGCTGAACCCCTCGGCGGTGGCCTGTGTCTTGCCGTCCACGCTCGACACGAGGTGGACCAGCCCGGCCGTTATCACGGCCAGCAGGCCGCCAAAGCCGAGCACCACCAGATAGCCCACGTAGACCGGCAGGAAGAACACGTCGTCCACTGCCATCTTTTGCTATATTATCCTTTCACTGTTGCGCCTTGTGAGCGCCGGCCTGTCCCCCCTTCCACAACGCTCTGCCTTCCTCTTCTTCCACTTCTACACCAAACCAAGAAGAAGCGCCAGCCACCCACGGAGTTCGAGGCTGGAAGCTTGCAAGCTCTAAGAAGGCGGTCCACCATGCCGCTTGACCAAACTTGGCTCTCCATCTTGTTCATCTCCTGCTTTTGGCGCCAACGCACAAAGTTCCTTGTTCTGGAAGTTCGACTGTCGACAAAAAAAGCTGACGTCAGCCGGGACCATAAAGATGAATATATAAATGTATATTTCGACCGTGAACATGGTAGCAAGGTGGGGCCTGACAGCTGTTGGACGTATCATGTATTGTGAGAGTGAAGAGGGAGAGGAGGATAGAAGAAAAGAAGGGAGGGCTCTTAGTTGATGGTTCCGATGTTCTCGACAGAGTTGAGGAACGGGAGCGGGCCGTTGAGGATGTTGTAGAGGCCTCGACTTCGCTGCCACCTCTTGCACAGGTGCTCCTCGGGCACGGTGACCTCTGGCAAGGGAATGGGCTCCTGCATTTAAGAGAGTTGATGATGAACGATGAGCTAGAGTTGCCAGACAAGCCAGTTGATGATGATGAGAGAGGGTTCGTACAAAGTCAGGCAGGCTCTTTCCGATGCCCACGACCACCATGGTCGCAAAGCAGAAGGGGAAGGTGAAGGCCGGTATGCTGATCATGGCAAGGTGTCGTCAGCGTCAGATGTAAAGGCAGTAGGTGAAGAGAGCAGTACCCCCAAGGGGCCAAGGCCACTTTGAAAAAGCCAAAGAGGAGCGAACAGAAGCCGGCGTTGATGACGGTCATGACCAGTGTCTTGACGGTCGGGTAGTAGAACATACCCTGGATTGGCACGTGAAGAAATGGGCGTCAGACCTTGCAAGGCGCTCACACAGAGGAAAAGGCCAAGCACCAACGTACCCCGACGGCGATTGCGCCAAGCACGGGGTTATAGCCCCACAGTCCGGCTTCAATGCCAGCGGCGTCGGCGCCGACGGCGAATCCAACCAGCACGCCGATGCCTGTTGCGAGGCAACACCGCAATCAAATCAGGTTCGAAGAGAGATGGAGCGGAGGAGGGGAGAGGTACTGGAGCCCAGCACGGCCATCATGGCAGCGATGGGCGAGCAGGCCGCCAAGGCGAGGGTCATGATAACGCCGCTGGCGGTGCTGCCGGCGAACATCACTTGACCGACGCCCTTGAACACGGCCTCGAACACTGCTTGGGTGTCCCAGTCGAAACCGGGCGAGGCCTAGAGAAGGATGGGCCATAAGCAGACGGAGAACACGAAAGGGCAAAGGGCACTCTGCCGTACCGCGGTGGGGAGCGATGGAGTGAACATCGCCAACGGGAAATAGCTGAACTGCAGAGAACTGAAACGGACAACACGAGTTTGAGCACGGCGTGGCCTCTTATAAGAGGGTGCCAAGTGGGAGGGATACGCAATGAAAAAGATGGTAGCGGTGAAGTTGAAGGCGAAAGTGAAGGGTGGAATGTTCCAAGTGCCGACCATGATGTTGCCCAGGAACATCCAGATGAGCTGCACCAATGGGTCAGTCTTCTTATCCATACCATGAATGAGTGCGGCCCACGTACCACGGAGATGCAGGCATAAGGAACGATGATGATAAGAGTGGGAATATCCCACTCATCCTTCATGAATGTCACAATCGCAGCACCCACCAAGATGCCGTTGTAGCCCGTCAATCCTGTTAACGCAATGTAAGGCAAGGAAGTGGGACAGGGGGAACAAGAAGCTTGATTCTACCTGCGCGCCTGGCTCCAATGTCCACTCCGATCTGAGCTGCAAACCCAGTCGCCGAGAACAAGCCTGCAGAGCCAGTGTGTCAGGTCGAGAGTGGAGAGGTACACTCATGAAGGACAGACAAACCTATAAGGCAGCCAACTGCCAGCAATGGCTTTTCAATCACCAGACCAATCAACAAGATGAGGCCCGAGATGGGGTTGTTCATGAAGTACACCTGGTAGTGGCCAGTGGTGAGCCAGCTGGAGAGAAAAATGGAGCTCGAGGGTGGGTGAGAGTACCTGGCCACACCCGCGGAGAGTGTAATCCAGAAAGTCGAGCGGCCCAAAGGCTTTTACGAGGTTCGACCACTCGGGCATTGTTCCTGTGTAGTGGATGAGCTCTTGCTCTCCAACGATGAAGATATGCGGGGGGGGGATTTGAGTAGAGATGTACCGAGGTAGTAGTTGCCTCCGCATCCCTTACCCCTTACTCTAGCCGCCACGGCTGCCTTCTTGCTGCCGCTTTCCATCGCAGCGAAGCTCAAGTCATCATCCTCCTCCTCGATGTAGTCCTCTTCTTCCACTTCGACGTGTATCTCCCTAGGCGCTCTTCCGCCGCCGCCGCCGCCGCCGCTGCTGTTGTTGTTCATCCCCCCAGCAGTCTTCGTCGTACCGCGTCTGGTCTGGCCTAGCCCATCTCCGCTACTCGTAACTCGGGTGAGGGTGGGCGACCGCCGCTGCTGGGTTTGTTGCTGTTGCTGTACTGGTTGGCGCTGCTGTTGTTGTTGACGTTGCTGCTGTTGGCGTGGTGGTGGATGATGCTCCACCATGTCATCTTCCTCCTCCTCGCCAACGCCCACGAACTTCGACTCCTCTTCGCCTAGTCCTTCCTCTACCTCCATTCCTCTTCTTGCTGCGTCCTTCTAGAAGTGCTTCACGGGGTAATGCTGTTCCTCTCGCCACCGCGTAGCGACTCCCCTGCTACGACCGTTGGCCTTCTACCCCCCACAACAGCTTCAACGGTCAGAAGGCACGCGAAAACAGTAAAAAAGGAAATCAAAACGAAACCAAAAACGAAACAAAAACGAAACGAAACGAACTCGCTAGCTCGGGCCGAGCGGGTTGGGCGCTCATCATCGGCAAGGGGCAGCAGTAGGAGAAGTGAAGTGGGTACTCATTTTATGGGCGAGGGCTGGGGTTCGCCCTTCACTCGTGCTTGTTTTTGTTGGTTGGCGCGGAGCGAAGTGCGAGCATGATGACCTGGGACAGGAGGGAGGAGAGCGAGGAGTAGAACGCGCCGAGGCTGGCGGCCAAGAGCATCTGGCGAGGCGAGTGATAGCCATATCGGTATGTGTAGACGAGCTGAATGCTGAGGCTGACCGCGACCACGAGCCCCAGCGCGAAGCCGATCCATTCCCAGGCGTGTGGCTTGATTTCCTCGATGCTGGTCAGCTCGCGGCGCAGCGCGTCGAGTTCATCAGGCTGCTCGACCGCTGGTATGACCGAACACCGCAAACCAAGGTCAGATTGTATCGTTGGTTTGGCGCCTTGAGGGCGGCAGTGTACCCGAACCAGCGCTTTCGACTGGTGGCAGTACGCTCGCGCTGCTAATGTGTGAGGACGGCGAAGAAAAGTTGAAGGTCTCCGAACGCTGTCCGCTCATCTTGGCCTTCTTCCAACGCAACGCGGGCTTCGCCTGAGTAGTGAAATCAATGGTCAGCACACACCAACACCTAAGAGTAACAGGGTGCGACTTGCCTGGTGAACTGCGATCTCGTGGATGAGGTGCATGTAGTAATAGTAAAGAGCGCACAGTGCCCACACGGCGTAGAACGCGTGGCCGGAGATTCCATTAGCGTGCGTGGTGTGGCACTCGAAGTCATCGGAGCGCATCTTGAGCTCCTCGACAGCTGTCAAGGCCACAAAGTAGCCACCGACGACCAGCACCATGCTCCCCACGAGTCCTGCACCACGAAGTACAGCACGTAAGCGGCTGCGAGCGTGCGTGTCGTGCGGCGCACGTACCTGCTTTGTTTGGGGAGAAGTACAGCAGAGCAGCCCAGATAGCGCCGAGCACCAACCGAAACTCCCAAAAGAAGAGGAACTCTCTTATGCCCTTGGGCAGCCACGGCCCGCCCTCCTGCAGCTCCACATTATCGGGGTTGAGGTGGCGCGTGTAGGGGGCCAGCTGGCAAGTCTCGATGGCCGTCTAACGTTCGGGCGAAGCACGAGCGTGAGAAGGCGCGTGCGACGGACCACAACGAACATTGCCACTGCCCACGCTGCACAGCACCACCTTTGTGGGGGGGGGTACCGGGTGCAGCTGCGCACTGGCAAAATAAACGAGGTAGAGCCCGCATCCTAGCAGAAAAAAGTGTAGCGGTATTGTGCAGAGCGAGGACGCTGCGGGCGTCGTCCAGTCTCGTTTCCGCGTCCCTCGCCACAACGGACCCATGGTGCTGTGTGGTGGTGGTCTGTTTATTTTTCATTTCTTTCGATTTTTCCAACATCGGTCGACAACTAATCGTACTGACTGTTTCCAAGGGACTGTACTGGGAGGTAGGCAACGGACAAGAACTACAGAGGCAGCCTCCATCCATCCGGCCTTCTCACCAAACGCCAGTCCGTGGAGCATCTTCATCGAATCAAGGCAACATGGTACGTGGTTTCAATCTGCCTTTTGAATTTACGACTGGCCAGCATGCTGATAAAAATCGGCACGCATTGCGCGCAGTCGGAGCGCATCAAGATTTTCTTCATGGATGGGTCGTTCAAGACCTTTCAGTACGGGCGTGAGGATACCCTCGAAGACCTGTGGTACACCGTGGTGCAGAAGCTCGGCCTGACCAACCAGGCGGCCGAGTGCTTTTTCCTCTGGTCCTCGTGCGAAACTCTCGGTACAAACCCTTCCCCTTTTGGTGCATCCATCTTTCTTGGTCGCGTGTTCGTGGCGAGCTTACTGTCGTCTCCCTCCACACCTCTTTGTTTCTTTGTTGGGCATTTGTGGTGCAGAGCTGCTGTGCTACACAGACGAGACGGTGGTCGAATGCGTCCAGCAGTGGCCCGCCACCTATGGCAAGTACCACGAGCGCGAGATCGGCATCATCAAGGAGTCGGCCTACGCCCTGAAGAAGCTGCGACACAAGGACTTGCCTGAGCTCCAGCTCACCTTCAGGACGACCAGCATCCTCCCGCTCAGCCAGGAGCGTAACATTAAGGACCCGATGGCCATTCACCTGTTCTACATTCAGGCCGTGTTCAACGTGATCGAATCCAACTACCCCTGCGAACCCGACGTCGCAGGTAAGCAGCGCTCACAGTGACACGCACTCCACGGCGCACGCGGCGGTGCTTCTGGCCTAACGTTGGCATCTGCGCCACACACACACCCAGCTGGTCTTGCTGGATTGCAGATGCAGCTGACGCTGGGAGACCACAAGCCCGACACGCACACGCCCGAATACCTGAACCGATTCGTCAAGGCCTACGTGCCCCAGCACCTGAAGCGAAAGATGCGGAGCTCGAAGTGGCGCAACCGCATCATCGAGGAGCACAAGCGGCACACGGGCAAGGACAAGCTCATCCTGCAGCTGCTCTACCTGCAGCTGGTGCGACAGTGGCCTTACTACGGTTCGACGTTCTTCAAGGCCGAGTACCTTCCCGTCACGCAGAGCTTCTACAAGCAACCGTTCGAGGGCGAAGTGAGGATCGGTACAACCCTCTCCACTACCTCTATACACTATTAGAGTGTTTGCTCATTCTGACCAAGAGACGTGATTGAAAACAACAGGCATCAACATGTATGGTCTGCACATCATCGATCCGAAGAGGATGATCATGAACACGTATACCTACACAGACCTCAAGGAGTGGGAGTCGGACAAGGATCTGTTCTACTTCCTCACGCCCAAGGGTGAGGTCAAAAAGCACATCTACAAGACGCCACAGGCCAACCTCGTCAACGACCTCCTGGTGCGTTGTCCCTAGGCAACTTTACCATGAGTCGTACTAACGTGGCGGCACCTTCGCTCGACATTGCAGTGGGACGTGATCAGCGACTTGGCGCAGCACGTGAAGAAGATCGACACCATCAGGGAGAAGCAGGGCGGCTCGCGCATCGTCACTCAGAAGGCCATCGAGACCAAGTACCGCAACACAGTTCTCTCCCCCTTCCACGAGGACAGCTCCGCGACCAAGGGCAAGGAGAAGGAAGAGCAGCTGTGAGGCGGCCTCGCGACCACGGAGTCATTTTTCCCCCCGCGCTGCGTGCAGTTCTTCTCTCCTCTTTTCTCTTTTCCTCTGCACCCCCCAACATTGTAAGTAGTACCATCACGATACCTAAATCGGCGTTTAAATAAAGCTCTCTCTGCCCACCATCGTCACCTTGCGATCACCTTGTCGTTGTGGGTCTGGTTGGTTGGCGTAGCCCTCTGTTTTTCATCGTCATTTCTTCAGCGTGGCACGGAGCACAACTCCCCGCCTGCTGCCGGCTCCGGCGAAGGTCAACCAACCACGGCCTATTTTTTTCGCGGACAAAGGAAAGCCGCGAAGGAGAAGCAACGGCGGCAGACCAGAGACAAACGAAACTAGAGGCAGGAGCTGATCGATTGATCCATCTGATCGATCCATCACAAGCCTACTCTCACTTCGGCCTGCCAGCTGGCAGATAGTTTAGAGAATTGATAGAAAGTAGATTGCAGAGATAGGAAGACAGGGCGCCATTCCATCTTAATCTTCTGATGAAGAAGGAATCGAAGCGCAAGTGGGTCACCCGCTTCCGTAATGTGGCAACACGAAAGAAGAAGGAAAGGAAGATTAAACTCAAGGAGAAGAAATCGGCCACTACGCGTATCAAGCCTTGGTTCGAGAAACATCTCATCGAACCCATCGCCTCGTCGAAGCTCGCACAGTGGCTCCCCTTCCTTCGCCGCGAGCCCACGACGGGCGAGCGCGTCATTCGTGTCAACGATCGGGTAGCCAACACGCACCAGCGCTTCAAGAACAACGCCATCTCGACCACCAAGTATGGGCCTATCACCTTCTTGCCCAAGAATCTCTACGAGGTACGCTGCACCTGTCTTGCGCAATTTCGTTTTGCATGAGCTGACATTCTTCTTTTTTCAATTAATTGTGATGCAGCAATTCAAACGTCTTGCCAACTTGTGGTTCTTGATCGTTGCCGTGATTCAGGTAAGTCTACCATCTCTACACTTTTTTTATGCTCCTGTTCTCCTATGCTCACCTTTTGATCCACAGCTTATCCCTGGCGTTTCGCCCTTGAACCCTGCTTCATCTATTGTGCCGCTGGTCTTCGTGTTGCTAGTCACGGCCGTCAAGGAGGCCTTTGAAGACATTGTGCGTCCATCTTCTTCCCCGCTTACTCCTTGGCCTCGCGCTTCCGCTCACCCCTCTTGCGCACTTCAGAAACGTCGCGTTTCCGATACGAGAGTGAATGGGCAGAAGGTGCTCCTCTACGACGGCGTCGAGTGGACCCCCGTCAAGTGGAAGGACGTCCGCGTGGGTGACATCCTCAAGATCAGGAACAACGAAACCATCCCGGCAGATATGGTGGTGCTTCACACCAGCGACAAAGACGGTCTCGCCTACCTTGAGACCGCTAACCTCGATGGGTACACCGTTCTTCGTGGCCTCATACTTGCTCTTCGCAGCTGCTGACTGTTCATGTGCCTGCGTGTACACGCATCAGAGAAACGAACTTGAAGGTGCGCCAAGCCCTTGAGGAGACGACCGATGCCCTTCACGAGCACTCGGCCATCAACAGCTGGAATGGTAGCGTTGCCTCCCATGGACTAGACCTTCTTCTTCGCGAATTACACGTCTCACCTCTCCTCTAACGTTGCACAGCCCAAGTCAAGTATGAGCGACCCAATCCCGAGCTCTACAATTTCGAAGGTGCCCTGATCATCAATGATCACGAGGACGACGCCATCCCGCTTAACCTGGAGCAAACCCTGTGGAGGGTACACTGACCTTCTTTTCTTGCAAGTGCATTTCGGACCATGCGATCTCACATGTGCACCAGGGCTGTACCTTGAGGAACACGGAATGGGCTGTCGGCGTCGTTGTGTTCACCGGCATGGACACCAAGGTGATGAAGAACGCCCGGGACCCGCCTTCCAAGCGCAGCCGTCTGGAGATCGAGATGAACCGAGCCCTTATCACCATTTTCCTCTTCGCCATCGTTATTGATTTCATCGGTGCCGTCATCTCCGGCGCCTGGTCCGAGGCCCGCGGGTTCGACCACTGGTACGTCTACACGTGACTCCTTGACAGTATTTCTTGTTGTCTATGTTGGGTTTTAAGCAAATGCCTTTTGTTGATGGTGCAGGTATCTCCAACTCAAGAACATCGAGAGCAGCGCTGCGGTCATTGGTCTTGTGAGCTTTGCCAGTTGGCTCATTCTTTGCAACGTCATCATCCCCATTTCGCTTTACGTGTACATCGAGTTGGTCAAGCTCGTCATGGTACTTCGATCCACCTGCTGGTGTGGCTGAGTGGACATGCACTCACAAGGTGTTGATGGCAGGTCTTCTGGATCAACATGGACGTGGAGATGTATCACGCCGAAACCAACACCCCTGCTCGTGCTAACACATCCAATCTTGCTGAAGAGTTGGGCCAAGTACGCATTCCGCAGCCACTCTTGCACGAGCTATATTCTCACGGGCGTTTGGTGTTGCTATTGCTGTTGTGCCCCCTTAGGTCGAGTACATTTTCAGCGACAAGACGGGTACCCTTACGTCAAACGAGATGTTCTTCATGCGCTGTTCCATCATGGGCAAGGCCTACGGCGAAGACCTCGAGGCGGTTGAAGATGGCGATCATGAGAAGACGAAGGACGACTTCAAGGTCCCCACCGAACACGAAGTCGAAGAGGCCGAGGAACGCCCCGAGGTACTCGTTTGTCGCACAGTCCTCGGAAGTTCTACGGATGGTTGCCCGATTTGGAGGCTCATCACACTATTGTCTCCACTCGCAGGCGTACATTTTCAAGGATCCTGAATTGAAGCAGGACGTGCACGACACGGCGTCTGATCCCGCGCTGTTCTTCCGTATTTTGGGCCTGTGCCACACAGTGCTCGTCGAGCAGCAGCAGCTGGGCGAGGAGGACACAGTTCATGAGCGCAAGGACGATGAGGACGAGCGAGGTACCTTTCGTCGTTCCCCATTTGTGCAGAGATAGCCAAGCGCTAACGTATCGACCTCGGCGCATCCTTTTGCGTGCAGTGGCTGAAGCGCCGCGCGGAATGAATGGGCTCACCTACCAGGCCGCCTCACCCGACGAAGCCGCTCTTGTGGAAGCCGCGCAGAAGCTTGGCTTTGAGTTCTTTGTACGCGATTCTTCCTTCAAAGCAGACAGGTGATCGAGTGATAAGTTGCAGACTGGAATTGATTGTTGATTTGGTGATCTAGGCTCGCGACCAGCACACTATCTCCATCCGTGTGCACGGCGAGGAAGAGCAGTGGAAGCTGTTGAACGTGCTCGAGTTCAACTCTGACAGAAAGCGAATGTCCGTCATTGTGGAGGACCCGTTCGATGGTAACCCCTCCTCCTCTTTCCTGCAGCGTTGAGGGCAGCATTGGGCTAACCAGCCCAACCACAGGCAAGATAAAGCTCTTCTGCAAGGGAGCTGACACGATGATCTACGACCGGCTGGCTGATGGCCAGGACGAAATCAAGGTATGTTTTCCGTTATGGCAAGCGAATGGCTCGGGTCGGTGGTTTTGACACCTCTCTGTACAGGAAACGACGATGCAGCATCTCGAGATGTTTGCCGCCGATGGTCTTCGCACGCTGTGTTTGGCTGTGAAGGAGCTCGACAGGGACACCTATGAAGAGTGGAACACCAAGTACAACCAAGCCGCCCTCCAAATCAGCGGCAGAGAGGCTGCGGTACCTACTACCTTGCTCGCTGGCCTCCTCGTGTTTCCCAGCTGACACTTCACTCTATGATATTCGGCTCGCTCCAGATTGACGCCGTCTCCGAGGAGATCGAAACGAACCTGGTGCTTGTGGGCGCTACTGCCATTGAGGACAAGCTTCAAGACGGAGTGCCGGAGGCCATCGCCACTCTGCTCAGTGTACACGCCTCTTTACTCGAGCTCTCTTTCCGCCATGGAACCACTGACGCTGACAGTGATCTCCCTTCCTGACCATTCAAGGCCGGTCTCAAAATGTGGGTGTTGACTGGAGACAAGATGGAAACGGCCATCAACATCGGCTACTCGTGCTCTCTTCTGAACAACAACATGAACAAGATGGTCTTCAGGTACATTCTCATTCTTGGTGTCTGCGGGTTTGGCGGAGGAGCCAACAAGACTCACCATCCTTCTCTTGTTCTATAGCTCCGAGCCGATGGAGGGTTATGAGGACTACACTGTCACCAACAGGGACTCTGCCATCAACGCGCTCGAGAGCTACATCAAGCTGCACTTCCCTCACATGCCCAAGTGGACTCCCGGACCCGACCCTGACAGTACGTGTCGCCCCTTCTCGATTTACCTATCTTATCATGGTCACGAGGGAAGCACACCGATTTTCGAAACCAGTCGTTTCGCGTAATTATCATTGTACGATTTGTGGTCCGACCTATGGCCTCACCTACCCTTGCTTCCCTCTCTTCTTCTTCCTCTTCTCCCTCCAGCAATGTCCAAGAGTGAGAGAATGAATGGCATGGAAATGGAAGTCATAACTGCTCGCACATCCTCCTCAGGAGACGAAGCCGATATGGTTCGCAAGGGATCTCACCTCGATGACAGTGATTCTGGTACGGGCTCTCACCCACTTCACACCACTCGTTCCTTGCCGGTTTGGTTTTTTCTCACGCGTCCCTCGCCCGCAAATGAAGAAGATGGATGGGACGGCAAGCGAAAGGAGCGCAAGCCCGTCAAGAAGGGAGGCAAGGAACTCGTTGACGGCCAGGAAGGCGACGACCTGGATGACGACGAGGAGGCCACCGGCCCAACACGTACGCGCACCCTGTTGCCTATCACGTCTCCGCAGCACCCAATTCAGTTGGCTTACTCATCTCCCTTACGCAGAGTATGCGCTCATCATCGATGGCAAGTCGCTGGCGCGATTCGTGCCCTCGAAGGGACCCTTCACCGACGTGTCTGCCCGTTTCCTGGCCCTGGCGATGAAGTGCAAGGTGGTCATCTGCTGCCGCGTGTCTCCGCTCCAGAAGGCCCTTGTGGTCCGTCTGGTGAAGAAGGGCATCAACGCCACCACGTTGTCTATCGGTGACGGCGCCAACGATGTCCCCATGATTCAGGAGGCTCAAGTCGGTACGTGTCTTTCTCTGGCTCCTCCATTTGCCATTGACGCCAGCTCAACTGTTGACATCGCTTCTACGCGCAGGTGTGGGCATCAGCGGTAAGGAAGGCCGACAGGCAGTCATGGCGGCCGACTACGCCATCGCCCAGTTCCGCTTCCTGGTTCCCCTGCTGCTCGTGCACGGCCACTGGTCGTACCGCAGGATGGCAGTGCTGCTGCTCTACTCCTTCTACAAGAACATCATCTTCGCCTTGGTCAACTTCTGGTTCGGCATCTTCTCCGGTTTCTCTGCCCAGGTACTACCTACGATTCCCGCACCATACGCGCGCCTGAGAGACTGACACCGTAGCCTCTTCCGTGCTTTGCAGACCCTGTTCGACAGTTGGGCCGTGTCTGTCTACAACATCTTCTTCACCGGTTTGCCCATTCTGATGGTGGCCATCTTCGATAAGGCCACTTCGCGCCAACAGATCCTGCAGTACCCTAAGGTTTACGAACGAGGCATCAGGAGCAAAGACGTACGTCGACTAGTCGCGTAGTTGGCTCTCGGCTTGGGCTTGGGTATGAACGTCGAAGCTGATCCGTGCGGTGGTGTCTTTCTTTTCCCTACAGTTCTCTCGCTGGGATTTCTGGGGCTGGCAGTTCCTTGGCATCGTGCAGTCGATCATCATTGCCTTCTTCGGCTTTGCTTCGTACATGCACTCCGACGTCTCGCACGACGGAGGAGTCCTCGACTTGTTCTCCATGGGCGCGACCATCATGACCTCTGTCATTTACGTGGTGTCAGTGAAGATCGCCCTGATCACCAAGTTCGTGCTCCCCTCCCTGTTGCTTGGTTACAGCAGGCCGAAGGCACTCACCTCGCATCTCTGTTACAGTACCTGGACGGGCTGGAACCACTTCGGTCTGTACTTCAGCGTGTTCCTGTGGTATGCCTTCTTGTTGATCTACGGTCTCATCCCGCCCAACTCGGTATGCCTCCCCCCCCCCAAATACGCTACGCTCTGGTGCTTGTCCTGACTGTGGTTATTCGCCTGCGTTGTTCATAGGTTCTCAGCGGAAGTGATCTGTGGTGGAAGCCCTACAACTTCATGGCTTTGGCGTGGTTCTGGCTCACCCCGATCCTCACCACCGCGGCTTGCTGCTTCCCCGATCTCGCTTACAAATTGTACGCGCGCTTCGTCTTCTCTCACTTATTATTTCTGTGTGCTACGGCTGTGGCTAAACCACTCTCTTCTTCAGTGTGAGGCGCACGTACTTCCCCGACGCCGATCACATCATCCAGGAGGTCCATGCCATCGACAAGAAGAAGAAGAAGCCCAAGAAGCCGAAGAGGACTTTCTTCAAGCGCGTGCGTGCCACCGGCAAGTCGAAGCGTACGTCCTCCTTGCCTTGTACATGTGTGCGGTGGTGCGTGTGCGTGTGCGGTGGGCCAAAAGAACTCACTCGTTTTCGTTCGGTTTAGACACTGGCTTCGCGTTCTCGCAGGCCCCCGGTGCCCGAGATCTGCTCTACGCGCTCGGTCTGGCGCCGCTGCCCAAGGATAAGCATGCGGCCGACAGCGACGATGACACTGATAAGAAGGGCAAGGAAGTGAACGACAAGAAGGCCAAGAAGAACGACAGCAAGAAGGCGAAGAACAAGAAGAACAGGTCGGCTTCGACGAGCTCTTCTTCTGCGGACGAGGCCCCCGCCGACTACAGGAGGGACAGCCACCTCCTCGACGAGCCGCTCAGCGAAAGCGAGACCAACGACAGCGCCAGCCTCTATGGATCCAAGCACTGAGCTCAAAAGGCGACAACCGTCGAGAGGGCGTGAAGAGGGAGAGAGAGACGAACGTGGATTCGATTTTTTGGAGCGTGAGAAGAGAGAGAGAGAGGAGAGTAGAGGGTAGATAGAGAGGGGGACAGCATCTGTGCATACAATTTATTTATTCTTTCCACAGCAGCACCACATCAACATCAACACCTTCATCGCCAACCAAAAATGGGTTTGGTCTTTTCCTTTGGTTTTCCCTTTTGCTTCTCTTTGGCGAGGAGGCGTGGGGGAGAAGTCCGTTACGTTGTGTATGGACAAGACAGGAGCTGCGTGCCAAGAAGTGGAAGTTACCTAGCGAGTGAAAGATGACGATGTCCGCCCGTCGGCCTAAGGTGGTACTCGGCTCCCTCCTCTTTCGCCTCGTTGACTTGTTTCTATTCTTCTTGATGCAGCAGCCTCAAAATCTAAAATCTCTGGTCGTTTCCAGGACCGCCAGGCGCATAAGCCCCCGCCACTTGAGCCACCACAGATCAACCTCCCCTCCTTACTTCTCGCCTCTCCATCATCTTCTTCATCATTTTCATCATCTTCTCCTTGCTCCTCTCTCCCGCTTCGACCATCTCCCTCTTCATCCCTGCGCACCCACAACAACCCCTCGGCTTCGCTTCTTCCCTCAACAACTATCCTTGTGTTGGTCCTGCTGCAGCTGGCCTGGGGGGTCCACCACGCCCAGGCCACCACCCACCTGCCCCGAGCCGCCGTCTTCTACGACCCCAACCTGGTCGACACCAGCGACGACGGTAGTGGCGAGGGCTACAACGTGCTCCAGACCCTAAGCAACTGGGGCTACCACTACACCACCATCGAGACCAACGTGCTCGCCGACTGGCGCGCGGCGCTGGACGACGCCCAGATGCTCATTTTCCCCGAGCCGGGTGAGCTCGGCCGCGCAGGGTCCGGCGACCCGCTTGACTACCTGGGCCTCGGGGTCATCAACCAAGTGCGCATGTTCGTGGCTGTCGGTGGCCTGTTCGTGCAGCTGGGCGACAACCTCACGGTGGTGCCCTACGTGTTCAACCTGGACTGGACTCCCGGAGGCTCGTCGCAGGACCCGTCGGTGCCCACGCCGGCCCGCGCCTCGTCGGTGTTTGCCAACTGCACCTACTCGCTGGCCGGCATCGATCTCGTCTACCACTACAACGTGTCGGCCAACTCGTCGGCCTGCCTTCAGTACAAGGCCGGCACCAACAACGGCTGCACGCTCATGCGCACCACCTACGGCCAGGGCGTGGTGACCTGGATCGGCTACGACTGGTACCAGGCCCGTCCCGTGGGCACCCAGGATTCGGGCTGGGTGCAGGTGCTCCAACGCGCGCTCTCCGAGGCGCCCTCCCCACCGCCGTCGCCATCGGCCTCCCCGTCCGCTACCGAGACGCCCTCCAACACGCCCTCGCAGTCGCCCTCGCAGAGCTCGTCGCCGACGGCTTCGGTCACGCCGTCGCAGTCCCCCTCGGCCCCGCCGTCTATTACGCCGTCGCCTACCTCGTCCAGGTCGCAGACGCCCAGCACAACTCCATCGCCGTCGACCACGCTGTCGCCGTCGCTCACTCCCTCGATGACGCCGTCGGGTTCGCCCTCATTCAGTCCCACGCCGTCGTCCACCCGGTCCCCCTCGCCCTCGCGCACGCCGTCCAAGTCGGCCACGCCCAGCGGCTCGCCGGCGCCCGCCACCGGCAAATACCCGGACACCAACACCAGCCTCCACTTCTTCTCCCAGGGGCCGAACGTGCGGATCGTCGAAGGTTAGTACGCTCCACCCCCCCCCCCAACGCCGGCCATGGAGGTCCTAACCTGACCACAACAAACCGTGCAGAGTCGAGCAACAGGTCCGCGGTGCTCAAGTTCACCGAGATAACGCTGCGTGATGCCAACGATGCACCCTTCAGCAGCATTCCCCTCCCCACATGTACGCTTTTTTAGTGCTACTGTTTTTTTATTATCGAGATTGATGTTCGTTTTACTAATGTGTTTGTGACAACAGCGGACTATGAGGTTTCGGCGGAAGTGGAGGCCTCGACGGGGGTGGAAACGTTCGGCTTCGCGACCACGCTCAACGAGGTGCCGATGGTGTTCAACTTCACGCACCCGTTGGTCAACGACACCCTTATGTCGTTCGCCGACGTGGCCTTCGTCGTGGAGCGCGGCGCGGTCAAGTGGCTCTGGGCCTTTGACGGCGCCTGGCCCTTCGATTCGCGCGCTTCGGGATTCACCCTCACCGCTTCGCTCGAGCTCGAGGCCGCGGGGGTCACCGGCGTCGAGAGGCTCAATGACCACCCGCGCCCCGGCCGCACCACCTACAGCGTCAACCACCACAGCAAAGACAACGGCAACAACAACGGAGGCAAGAGCCTGGAGGTCAAGTTCGTCGTGTTTGATCGGGCCGTGTCCGACGGCGAGCTCGTCGACGTCGTGCACGCCGTTGAGCTTGTCACCACCGGCGGCGCGCAGGTGGCTCACTTCCACTTCACCTTCCCGGCATTCCGCTACACGTTCGT